ATATGGCAATAACTGGCAGTGATCTGTGGAGACAATTCTTTACAGTTTATATCGGATATTAGTTTAGTGATATTCATTAAAACGTACTCTGAAACTGACGTACATATCAACAGAAGGGCCAGAGCAGAAAATTAGCCTATACCTGGAGGCAATGTTTTCCATATCTAAATATTAGGATAAGGTACTAAAAATAACAGCTAATTAAGATAACGGTCCCTAAAATAGCTATTTCAATATCGGTCATTGCTCGAGCAACATTTTTGCCTTAGGTAAGAAAAGTACTTTAAAAAGGGAAAAAAAATACCTTTACGAGTTTCAAGTCAATTAATAAATCTCGAAATAGATGGTCGACATTTTAAATAAATTGGTAAATGTACCTGTTTATGTGGTTTACTTGACAAGCCGAGGTTCAAAGAGTAGATGAAAGTTTTAGTACGTGACTGAGAGTGTGAAGTCGTAGTACTAAGTATCCTGCTTAAAAATACATACGTGAAGAATTTATATCTTCTTACTGAAATCTCCGCATCATGTATCCGCAAGATGTTTCCTCTCGCTAGATTGTAATTATCAACTTGGACTGCCCCTTTTGCTAACAACCATGCATTCTATTTTCTTACAGTTAATAGTTAGTAATTTTCTCTTTTTTTCTTCCTTCCTCGACAACTTCTATGGATAATTTTCGATCTCTTAATAGCTAGCTTAATTTTTGATAGACAGTTTTTGCTATTTCTATACAGATTTCTCTCTCGACCTTCCTGTCATGTGTCGTTGTTCTTCTTCTTGTTCTACTTGTTCTTCTATATTCCGTGTTCCATCAGCTCGTTGGCGATCATAGCTCTCCAAAATTTACCTCTCCTTTGTAGGTCTTATTAAATTTTGTCTTTTTGCTACCACTCCTAAACTCTGTTCTGCCATTCATTAACACAAACTCGGTAGGTAGGTTATATGTTGTTTTCCTCTGTTCCGCTTGCCTTCAATCTGCCTTGTAAATATCAGATTTTCATTATGGACCATAGACATTTCAACATTCTCTTTCACTTTCAGCTTTCTCTCCCTCTCTGTCTCTCTCTCTCTCTGAAATATATGTGCCATTTTGTTTCAATTTTCTCTAATATTTTGTCTTTGCTAACATATTCTCTCAATCGTTTTCTAAACAATATTCTATAGAACCATATTTCTATTGCCTTAAGGTTTGTCTTCTTCTTCGATGACAATGTTCAGAATTCATTGGCAGAAAAAACAGCAATTAAGAGGTGGTTCCACGCTCGTCAAAACCTCCCAGAGTCCATACTCCCGAATGGAATTTATCGTCATACCCAGGATGAGGAAAATTACGGATTTAGATAGGTGATGAAGGTGAAACAACTTTACTACCTTTCCCAATAAATCATAGAAATTTACAGATAATAAATAAAATTAATCTGTGGGAAGCCAGGAAAAGATATGAAAAGATATGTGCAGTCCTGACATGATATTTTCCAAACCTGTCCTCGTTTTGGACCATAGACATTTTAACAGTCTTTTTCTCTTTCATCTCTCTCTCTCTCTCTCTCTCTCTCTCTCTCTCTCTCTGAAATATATGTGTCCTTTTTGTTTCCATTTTCTCTTATATTTCATCTTTGCTAACATGTTCTCGCCATCGTTTTCTAAGCAATATTCTATAGAACCATATTTCTATTGCCTTAAGGTTTGTCTTCGTCTGCGATAGGATTGTTTAGAATTCACTGACATATATGAGGACTGACATTACGTAACAGTTCAGTACTCGTTTCTTATTGTCTAACAACATTTCTTTTCTGTTTACAGACGTAAATAGTTGCGTCATTAGTATAAATAACCAGTAGGGAACTGATGATGTCAAGAAGCTCGTCGATGAAGAGAAGACATAACGTAGATGAAAGTGTAGAGCTCTGGCAGGTCCTAGTATTAATTTGAAATTATCTAGAAGAGTGGCTGTTCAATACGATATTCATCGCACATTTTCTTAGGAGTAACGGATAAGAATTTATGAATCCGGTTTCGAAGGTATACACGTCTTATTTGGAAAACTAATGCTAATAATGTGTCTCCCTTCTTGGCATTATTCCATTCTTAGCAGAGGCAAATCTCATAAAATATATACAATTGCATACGCGTGCACAGAACTCGATCACTAATCTATTTCCCGACGCAAAACGTAACTGATAAGCTCATATTTAAAATAAAAAAAAAGGTGTGTTTCTGTTTTCTACATTTAAATGTGAGTTTCTCTTTGTTATATTTTTAATATCGAACCCAGCACAAAGCATATTTGCTGGCCGTTATTAAGACAACAAAGGAAAGGAAAACACAATCCATTTTTTGCTTTCATTTCTGCCGATAAAATAAAGAAAATGTCGATATTATTATAAATACTACACCTTTTTCCGACCCTCCCTTTAGCCTTTGTGACAGGCCCCTACTCACATAAAATATAACACACAAAACTTGACCCCAACCAAACCCCGACTGCATTAATGCTACCTCCTATTTTCTCCATCGCTCGGGGCCTCATCTACCATGACCTCCTCACGAACCCTACGCCCCCGTCCAGCTGCCTCCTCTTCTCCTCCGAATATTGGAATGAAGCCAACGTTTCAAAACGAGTGCAATACAATTCAAAATCAATCAAACATAATCTCTTCAAGTCGAGGTATCGATCTTTGAACAGGGACCAAACGTCAAAAAGTGAGAGTAACGAATGGAGGGACGGGAGAATAAGCGAATGGCTATTTGGTCGGGGAGCGAGGCTTTTAGACTAAGTGAATCAGAAAGGAACATAGGCCAGTTTATGGCCGATCAGGTCGCCAGCTGTTATAACCCTATTCCCCTATACTGACAGAACCATATTCTGTGAAACAAACCCACTTGTGAATATGTACACTTAGTGCATCATGAGACAAAAGGCCACACTTGAATACAAATCAAGATGTCAACTCACGGTTTTTTTCTCAACTATAGACTAACACAGCAATTATATATGGAACATACATTTAACAAAAAATTCTGTGCCATTTCAGGATTTTTTTTAATGCTATTGCTCACGAAACACAAAGCTCAAGAATCACTCAAGACAGACTTTTTCCTAAATGGGGTTGTTTTATGAGTATAACAATTATAGATTATGAGGATATGTTGTCGCTAGACGTGAAGAGGTTAAGTTTGTAGTAGCCGGGCAGCATCTTCTGGGGAGTCTTTCAACAAAGCAGTAGCTCTTCTTACCCAATAAACTGAATGAGGATGTGTCGCAATAAAATTTCCGAACGTCCGGAACTACAGAATGTAGCTCTCTCCGAACATTTGCCATGGAAATAGAGATTGAGTAGCGAATGTTCTGCGGCATTGTCTCAGTTGGAAAGTGGTTGCAGGTGTTCCGTTGCAGCTCAAACCAGACACCAGGTTCGTTGAGAGGGTGCAACTTCTTCCAGTCGAACACTTGTGGCGTTGAAAAATTTCCCTTCGGTCAGATAATTACCCACGAGTGAAAAAAAGAAATAATTTTAAAGGCGGAGGTGAGGTGAACGGTCTAACGGGTGTCTTCCTTGTCCGTCGTCTTTCGCTGCTCGTTTCTCTGTGTGTCTATTCGTGGGACTGATCATTTTTTTTATAGCTAGCATGGTTCTGCCGTCTTCGTCTAAAAAAATTCAGTGATTACTCTTTGTTTGGGCCGCTCGTTTGTTTATTTTTGTTTTACGGCATATCAACCTCAGTGGGTTATTTAATGTCGACAAAGTTTTTATGGTTGGTAATATTTTTTTTCAAAAATCTATTTCTGGTAATAATTTTCCTTCAAACATAGCTGGTAATAAAACATATAATAAAACATATTTTTACACGTTTTAACCCCAGTTTGGGGTGTTAAGTATTTGCATATAGCTGGGATCCTAACAGGTGTTACCACCCCGGATCAAAGTGGACCTGGGAACACCAGCAATTAAGAGGTGTTTCCACGCTCCTCAAAACCTCCTGATCAGAGGCCTTGCAGTTGGACGTAATTTATCTTCTTACCCAGGACGCGGATGTAGTTTATCGTCATACCCAGGATGGGCTGCTCGTTGAAGACCACTTCATGATACTGATAGCCATCGATCAAAAATAAGTATATCCCGGATCCATTTTTGCGACAGATCAAGCTGTTTTTTACTTAACAAAACGTCAACTGACTGATATTGCTACACAGGTTGGAAACTAATTCATCGGTAAATAAGCGTATTGTAACTCTGTTGAGGCTGGATAGTGATACATTTGCAATTCCGGGTCAGATACAATAGATCATAGGACATTATAAGAGGCCTAACATTTTTCCTGTCTTTAGCAATAGCTCATATATAAGAGAACCACTTGATATATGGGATCAACTTGAGTCTTCAATAACAGAGCCCTCAACTATTTCCTTTCTAGTCCTCAAAATTATATCTCATTCTGTTGAAACTTGACTAATGCATGGGATAAGAATGCAGAACAAAAGGTACCTGGAACAAAATATATTGAAACAAGAAAGTGTATACAATATTTACATATAGTTTTTTGTATATTCCTGGTAAGACCGTTCCTGGAGAATGTGTTGACTGAGTCGCAGTCGGGCAGAGTCTCTGGTTGAATCTCTTGATTCCTCTCTCTCTCTCTTCCCGGTACCAACCATATTTCTATGGTCGGTACTCCACTATGCAAATTAGGTGGATCCTACCACAACACATTCCATCTTTATAATGCTGGTTCTATCATCCATTTACTCAGAATCGTCAAGCAGATTAATGGTTGCTTTACCATAAAACAGTTGCCTCCATTCTGCGCCGTGAGTGTAAATTCTCTAAGCCTTCTTTACCCATTACCCATTACCTGTGCCAAACACTTCACTTCTATGATTATTCGCATTCCTTTTGTCATGCTATGTCTTTACAAGATAGTCGATCACTTAACCTCGCATCGAGAAACGAGGATTAGCTATAATGATACCCTCTCTCCAATCTACAAGTCAGGGCTTACGGCCACATCACTTTGAAACACTGCTTCCCGTACGATCACCGCAGTTAAGCAACGCCGAGCCAGGTTAGTACCTACATGAGAGACGTGACAGCTTGGGAATAATTGGTACTGTAAGCTTGGATGTGCTGGTAGTTAGATAATGGCTCGGAATTGTTAATCGGAGAGCCTAGTTTTCAATTCCGCTGTGTTCGTTATATTCGCTTACGTGCAAATACCCTTTGGTGGGGGGCGATATGAATTCACCTTTTCTTCCCCACGTATGAGTTAATTAGTGAGACTTGTATCCCTAAATCATTTTTATCTAAAAAAAAAAAAAATTCTTACAATCTAAGAATATTTTCTCTCTTTAAATAACCTGCAAAGGATTGATAAGACGTAAAAAGCTTATCAATCAATCTACAAATCAGGTTAAGACTATCTCTATATCTGTTTATCGACTATGCTTACGCCCCCGAAAAATTCATTTCGGTCGAGCACTCTGGAGACAAAGAGCGAATTTCTAAACAGTGACTACTGCTGCAGGGCTCTTCAATGAATTTAACCATTTCGCTTACTGGCGTATTTATTCAAAGAATGAATGCCTATGAAAAAAAAAATGAGCAAAGAGTTAAGAGATCGAAATATATCCTTTGGAACAAAAATAGTGTGCAGAAATGCGATGTATTATGTATTATAGACCCTCGACAAAAATAGGCTGAAAGCGACAGATATGAGGTAAAACTACAGGTTCACTACTGATGTTCTGGCGCCTCTAGTTCTGTCACGTGTAAAATATATTTCCCATTTATCATAAAAATCCTGGCCTTCTACTTATTACAACTTCCCCCAAAATATGATTTTAAATTACGAAATTAATAATTGATAAGATCTTGATACAATAAGCACGATACAATTTTTCTTACGCACTAATGTTATAGATATTGTTTGAAAAATGACGGACTGCATATTTTTCTTTAGAAAGAAACACCGCTTCTTCAGAAAAATGCACTTTTTCAGTTTCACTGCTCATGATTATTTTTCATTTGTATGCTTGTTTTTTTTTTTATTCCAACGAATCTTTCTGAAGAAGTTTTGGATTAAAAAACAAACCTCTAAAAGTGTCATATAGGAAGAAAATGAGTAACTACCGGCAACGAGGTTCGAACGTGACACTGTATTTATGAATATGTTTTCTGCCAGGTGTATAAATAGCGGTGTCAGGCTATTGACTGGAGTTGATTATTGAGTGATTAACGCATGACTATTGAGTGGAACGATCCAGTTGAATTAAAGTGAATTATTTTGTGTCGACAATTTTGTTTTAGAATTTACACGACGTCAAGCCGAGCCGCGCTGCTAACAAGGTATTCACTGAAATGGTTAATTATCTCTGGTTGACTTTTACTCCTTTGTTCTTGTTAAGTATTTATTTGCGGTTGTAATTAAATACTGTTTTATTTTCACATTGAAATCTTGAGTTATACTTAATTATTAATGGCCACCGTACGTCACAAAAATTACTTATTTTTATTAATTTGTTTTTATTATTAATATATTTACTCGTGTTTATATATGCATTCGTATTTTTTTAATTTGTATATATTTATATGTACATGTACACACACTTGTATAGGCGTGTATATTTAATAGTTGTTCGTTTATTTATTTATTAATAATTATTCTTTTAGAAGTTTATATTATATTTGTCATATAGGAAGAAAATTAGTTTCGACACAGAGTTTCCAGCATGACACTCTGGACTTATGAATATATGCTTTCCGTCAGGTGTATAAATGGCGGTGTCAGGCTACTGACTGCAGTGATTATTGAATGATTATTAAGTCTGTTGAGTGGAACTATCCAGTCGAATTAGTGTGAATTATTGTGCATCGATGATTTGGGTTTTGATTGAGAATTTGCCAGACATTAAGCCGAGTCGCGCTACTAAAAAGGTATTCACTGAAATGGTTAATTATCTTTGATTGACTTTTACTCCTTTGTCCTTGTTAAGTATTTATTTACGGTTGTAATTAAATACTGTTTTATTTTCACATTGAAATCTTGAGTTATGCTTAATTATTAACGGCCGCCGTACGTCACAAGAAATCAAAAGAATGCGCTCCGCAATTATTAAAACAACACACACACACACAAATATATATATATATATATATATATATATATATATATATATATATATATATATGTATGAGATAAGTACAAATGGATTATAAGTAGACTGTCTGTAGCATTTTCTTTTTAAATAAGCGCTCAATACAGAGTAGAGCTTAATATTAAAAGAGGGGGAATTCTGCTTTTGAAATTAAAAATAATCATTTACACCCGAGTTATTACCATCATCTGAAGAAGCAGAACTTAGTGCTGAAACATGAAATCCATTGTGTAGCGATTTCCAACATGTTTTTTTTTGGGGGTAATTTACTTTTAACATATATATATATATATATATATATATATATATATATATATATATTCAGTGAGATTTTCTATGGCAGTCTGTGCATTTGTTCAATACTTTTTCTTGCCGTAAGTCTTAAAATGTATCTTAATTTGCGGCTCATTTTTCACATCAGTATGTTCTTTCTTTCTTTCTTTCTTTCCTATCAAAATTCTTTCACTATTTTTTTTTGTTTCGTTTTATTTCTATTTAATTTTCCTCCATTTCTTTTTCTTTTTAGTCAATATTCTTTCAAAGATCTTCCTTTTTTTCTAGATTATTTCTTTCTTCTGTTCTACTCAAGATATATTTCATTCTTTCTTTCTTTATGCTCTATTTGTCTTCCTTTATTCAGTATTCTTTTTCTTCGTTTCTTTCTTGCTTCTCAAGATTTCTTTTTTCTTTCTTTCTTTCTTTAAAAGAAATCGTTCTTTTTGTCTTTATACTGAAAGATTCCTTCAGTGTTTCTTTCTTTCAACTTAAAATGTATTTATTTATTTCTACTTTTTGATTTCTTTGTTTCTTTCTTCTCAAGATTTCTTTTATTCTTTATTCTTAAGTTATCACTCCTTTCTTTCTTTCTTTTCTTTTCTTTCTTTCTTTCTTTCTTTTCTTTTCTTTCTTTCTTTTCTTTTCTTTCTTTGTTTCTTTTCTTTCTTTCCTTTAGTCAAGATTCTTTTCCTATGTTCTCTTTTGTCTTTTGTCGCTTTTCAACCTTGTTTTCCATCAAACTTCGTATTTCAGCGGTCTTTTTTGATTAGCCCGGAGCATGCAGTCATCATGAAAAACTCTGCCAAAAAAGATCGATACTGGCTCTCTACATCAACAAAAAGAAAATCCGATGCCCTTGCTTTTATTCACCGACCCTTAAACAACAGCATGTCCGGTGTATAGTCAGACTTTATCAACAAAGCATTCGCCTACACGGGGAAAAGCGGTCAAGCAGTTTTCAATGGGCCTGAGTCCATTCGGCCATTGGGAATATCCGAAGTAGGCAAAAATTACAAACTTTGGCGCCATAGAACGTAGATTTGGCGGGAAAGTAGTTCTAGAGGGAAAGTTAATAGACAAAGGATTAGAGAGTAAAAAAGAAAGAAATAATACCTTACCTTTGGCAAAAAAAAAAAGACAGGAAAGAAAATGGTACCAGAATCCAAACTGGCTTCTTTTTTTTACAATGGTACAGACTGTTTGGCACTGGTCAGAGACTGCTTCGCCATTTGTTCACATCTGAACAGAGTATAATGGGCCACTGGCTATATTCTTCTGCAGGACGATTATCGGTAGAGTTAGATGAGTTCGCCAAATGCTGCCCTTCGATCCAATTAAAAAAAAGGATTTGAGGGTCACGTATAATTCCTGATGCAATATGCAAAGCACACACTCACAAACACAGACACATGTTCTCTCTTTCTTTATCTCTCTCTCTCTCTCTCTCTATATATATATATATATATATATATATATATATATATATATATATATATATATATATATATATATATATATATATATATATATATATATATATATATATATATATATATATATATATATATTATATATATATATATATATATATATATATATATAGAGAGAGAGAGAGAGAGAGTAATGGATTTTTTATATACGAGGGTCGTCGGAAAAGTTCATAGGCTGACCATGATACTCTCAAGAATGCGACTAAATGAGGATTATTTTTTCAAGATACAGCACCTTACGTCCACACATTTCCTCCCTCAGTGCGGCACTGCCCGGATGACGCTTAATTCCTGTTCTGTACATAACAGAAACGCCGGCAATATTCAATGCATGCCCGAATGGCAAACTTAGAAATGTGTAAGTTAGATTCTGACGAGAAAAAAAAAATTGTCTAGCACGATACAGAGAAACAACTTTCATAGCAGCAGACCTAACAAGTGATTCAATATTATCTCTTCACTTCATGACAGCAGTGACTCATTTGCGCCCAAGAAGGCGCAAATAAATCACCCTCCTGCTTATCGAAGTCAAAAAAAAGTTTTCAAATACAAGAGAGTAATTTTCTTTGTAGAGGAACTGCTGGCATCTCGTCTACAGTCACTTTCTCACAGACGTGCCGTCGCTTGCCTCTGTCTTTTCTACAAGTACTTTCGCGGCAACTGCTTCGACGATCTACTTTCTCTGGTTCCCAAACTGCATGAATTTAAGCATGTTACTAGACTGGCATCTCAGTCCCACCCTTTCACTGTCGAAACGTTTAAATGTGGCCGTCTCTTCTACTCCAATAGCTTCATGTCTCGCACTTCCAGTCTGTGGAACTCCCTTCCTCTTACTTGCTTCCCTGATAGGTCTAATCTCCAACTATTCAAATGTAATGTCAATCGACATCTCTAGATGCCTTGATCTAATTCCCCGTCCTGCTCTCTATCCTTTCCCCTTTTTACTCTTGCTCCCACTCTCTGTAACCCATTGCGTGCTAGTGGCACTGTCGCCTTCCTTGGGGTGAAATGCTTAAAAAATGCTTAGTTTTCAAGGGGTGCTTTACTCTGATGAAACTTGTGCGAAAAAAGTCGGTTGGACATGCAGAAATAGACTGATAGACTACCTCGCAAACTATTTTTTGCATTTCCAGCCGATTAATCCTCATTGGGTACAATCATCATTAAGTCTTCGAAACTTGTTGCCTTGTATCAAAGCAATGAAAAGAATATTCTTCATGGAAGAATATGTCGCGAGAGGGCCGTTTTGATTTTTGCTTAGAAACTGATTTTTATAGATATCTTGCTGGCGAGATAGTGAAACATAAAGTTACGACTATTGTGGTTTAGATCTATGTAGGGTACTCTGCACCTGTGGCCTTGTGTCTGACTATGATCATTTTAGTAAACATCTAAAAGGTTAATACCATTCGAGGTGGGAAAAGAATTCCAAGAGAGAAATAATCTAAAAATGGAGAGGAACGAACAAAAAGAATGTTTGGGGAAAAAAGATAGTCGAGACGGAAGTGGGGGTAGAAAGGATATTGACGTCAAAGAACTCCCGCACAATTGGTGTTGCGTACCTTCTAAATATAATCGAAATGAAAGATGATGGTGGCAAGGAGAATAGAGTTGATTGTGCGCGCCTCAACATGCGTTTGCCTTAACATGTGTGCTTAGCGAGGTGAGATGAACAACAAAATAGGCATTCAGTCCGTAATCTTCCCGCATCTTCATACGCGGGAATGTATATAAAAATAGGTTCGAGATACACGCGGTTTTCCAAAATAAAGAAAACAAAGTCTAAAAGACTAAGTGAAATTAGGGAAGAATGTGAAAGATAGAAATCAGGCGAATATATATATATATATATATATATATATATATATATATATATATATATATATATACATACATGGGGGGATTGTAGATGGTGAATGTGTGTACAGATGTATGGGGAAAGGACAAAAGTTTTTATTGGGAACAGATAAAACGTTTGGCTTTGAAATGGAGAAAAGTTTACATTAGGAAAGAAAAAAGTTTGGATTGGAAACGGGAAAAAGATTTTATTGGGAATGAATAAAAAGTTTCCATTGAGAACGGGCAAAGGTTTTTATTGGGAATGGATAAAAAATTGCATTGGAAAAGGACAAAGTTTTTTTTTTATTGGGAATTGATAAAATGTTTGCATTGGAAACGGGCAAATGTTTTCATTGGGAATGGATAAAATGTTTGCATTGGAATCAGGCAAAAACTGTTGTTGGGAATGGATAAAATGTTTGCATTGGAATCAGGCAAAGTTTTTTGTTGGGAATAGATAAAAAGTTGGCATTGGAAAAGGGCAAATGTTTTTATTGGGAATTGATAAATATTTGGGTTGGAAACGGGCAAATTATTACATTGACAACTTGTAGATTTTGGTTTGAAATTGGGCAAAAGTTTGGATTGCGAACGAACAAATTCTTTAGGTTTTTTGTTAGAGAAGAGGTAACGGCAATTTTTGAAAGCGCTCAGCACACACAAACACAGACACACTCACACACACACACACACACACACGTACACACACACACACATATATATATATATATACTTAAAGATAATATTTAGTTAAAGGAAGGAAAGAAAAGGCTCGACTGGTGGATTTCTAGGAGACAATGCTTTTACAAGCATTATTTGTTAGTAAAGTGCTCAATATTATGAAATAGTGCACTAATAACAAATAAATAGGAAAAGGTCCCAATTTTATTATTGCTGCCTGAATACACTTTTTTTAATACAGGGTATATCAAAAATAATTTTACAAACTTTGGGGAAGGTTCTTCGTGTAATTGCCATCTTTGATAATGGCTTATGGAAGCAGAAAGCTTAGATAGGATTAAAATATATGTATCAATATGGTCATTTTTTTTCGTCTTTTAATGATAATTTTATTTAGCTTATCAGACGATATGAAAAGAATTTACATAAAATAAATAGACAAAACTTGTCTATATTATTTAATGAAACATGCATCAATGAAAAAATGCTCCTATATATATATATATATATATATATATATATATATATATATATATATATATATATGTGTGTGTGTGTGTGTGTGTGTGTAAATGGGAAGAGATGTATAAATAATTAGGACGTTTTTGAAATAATCATAGGAAAAAAACGTAATTCATCGAGTCTAATTGAAACCCGAACATTTACGATAAGAGCCAAAGCCATACCGGGTTTCAATTCTCAGGATTGGATTTGGTGAGTCTCAAATATAGGACGAAACGTCCGTCCAGTCTTTTCATTCTGTTGAGGTTTCTTCTAGACTCTATGAGTTACTTAATTATGATATATATATATATATATATATATATATATATATATATATATATATATATATATATATATATATATATATATATATGTGTGTGTGTGTGTGTGTTTAGGCAGCATTTTTCATTGATACATGTTTCATTAATTAACATAGACAAGTGCTGTCTATTTATTTTATGTAAATTCTTTTCATAACGTCTGATAGGTTTAATAACATTATCATTAAACGAAGAAGGAAAATCACCATATTGATCCATATTCTTTAATCCAATCTAAGCTTTCGGCTTACATAATCCATTATCAAAGATCACAATTACATTACAATATATTAAGCAATACACGGACAAGACAGTGATGATAGTCTGTTTCTGTTTACGTGGAAGATTTCCAAGCAACGACAAACACGTGAATATAAGACGCTGGAAGCGAAAATCGCACCGCAGCTCATGACGTCATACATGACCACGCGAGAGTGAATTCGAGAAGTATTAAGTATGGGAAGCCATTGGTATAAACCAATGGCTTCTGATAATGTTATTAAGTTTATCAGTCGATATGAAAAGAATTTACAGAAAATAAACAGACAACACTTGTCTATAATATTTAATGAAACATGTATCAAAATATATATATATAGGGTTAGTTAAATGAAATAACTAGATATTAGCGACGGTATACGCGCGTGCTTGCATGGATACGTTGGTAAGCAAGTAAATAATTACCAAATTTAACCAAGAGGTGTGGACATGATAGTGCTCAATGTGATTAGATAAATATAAGAAATACAGATTAATAGATACATATATATCGAGATTGGTGTACAACTTAAGTGTCTTTTACTTCCCTTTAACCAGTCAAACGATTTTTACGATCAGCGTCCATTGTTCAAATTTTAAATTTTACGCATACTTCAATTACTTTCTTTTTCTCT